CGTTGTTGTTTGTCTAAGAAATATAAGATGTATTTTTCTTGTAGTGTAGGCATCGTGCGAAATAGGCATAAATAAATATACCGCTCGCATATGAGTATTGATCGTGTGAGCGGACAGTTGTCCTGGCTGCGCCCCAACGATTATTATTAATGACCAGCGCAGAACATTTGCATTGCACTTCCAGGTTCAGTTCTCATTGCGACGTGCTGTCAAACGGCCGCATTTTTGGTGTGTGTCGTCCTGCAACACACAGACACACACACATACAAAATCAATATTAATGAGCCATTAAACGCTGTCTCAGGCTCATTCTAATGACTGAGTTGGCAGCTTGTCTCGAAGCGGAAATTGAATAGCCACAGCGTAGAACGAATCACAGCGGATGTAGCCACACAGCAGAGCAGGAAATCGCATTAGCATTAGCATCAGCATCAACGAGCTCAACTGATTCCGCTTAAAAGTCAGAGAAACCAAAGCCCTCAGCCCGTAACGGAAGTTTTAGCGTAATGCCTTGCGCCTGATGAGCTCCCGAGCATGGGCTGCTCCAATTCCAAGTCCACGACAGCCATAGACGAGACCAAACCAAAGCCAGCCCCATCGACCGACCCAGCTAAAGCAAAGTCTAACAAAATGGACGCCTCGCCCAAGCAGGAATATCGTAAGTAGTCACGGCCCCTCAATTAACTGTCCCTTCATAATCAATAAAACCCATTAAAATAGCGGCCTCGGAGGCGTTTACCATACCGCTCGATGACGAGAATAGTGCAACAGCGGTTCCATTGAATGATACGCTGCGTCAGCCGCCCAAGCGACTGCAGCAGCTGATGCAGCAGGCCGCCGAAACGGAGCCACTCACATTGGAGGAGCTGGAGGAGAAGCAGCAGCGCGCCGAACAGCGACGTCAGGAGCTCATGCAGCAGAAACTGGAGGGCATACAGAAGAACACAGAGAAGCTGCTAATGCGTGGCCACAGCGAACAGGCGGGTGATGCGGTGGAAGTTGCGTTGGAAGCCGCAGAGCAGCAACAACAAGAGTCTACACAGCATTAAGCCCCATTTACACTTAATTTTTAGCATTAAGTAAGCATTCACACTAATCAGCTTTACCAAGACGCGCCACTAGAATCAGGGGCTCCTTTAAAAGTTTATGCGTGAATGCATTCACTTGAGCTCGTAAAAGAGCAAATGTTATTAACCGAACGTCTTTGGGCAGCATTTGAATGTTTTCTGCTAACTAAAAACTTATATATATATATATAAATCTTTTCAGATTAAAATACAATAAATATACGTTCTAAGAATCGTAATTAATCTAAAACTCAGCGCACATTTTTCTCAGTGTTTATGTTTTTAAAAACCCAATTTTTCTTGTAAGGATTAATGTTCTTATCTATTTTATTTTTGTGTTTCAACTTCAAGCTTTGAAGTATTCTTTTTATCAAAACCAAAGCAGGCTGTTTTATAGTTAAGTTAATAAGTTAATCTAATTAAAATAATATATTTTGTTCATTTATACATTCTTATTTTTTATTATTTGACTATTTAGATTAATTATTCTTGTGTTCTTAGTATGTTACTAAGATAAATATTTTAATAAATAAATTTATATGCAATTTAATACATGCATAAATGTAGCTTAAAGTTTGATCTATGGAATAGTACGCAAAAAACATGTATTCCATTTTATTCTTCTCATATTTATTGTATATAAAAGAAAATATAATCTATAAAAATAAATAATATAAACATATCAAGGAGCTGCAGTTATAAGTTTTTACTACCTCACGCTATGGATAAAGCGTCTTAATACTACATAACAAGTTCGAGGCTCTAGTCGGGAGTTCCCAACTACGGGCAGACGGACTTGGCTAGATCGATTCGGCTATTGATGCTGATCAAGAATATATATATACATTATGACGTCGGAGATACTTCCTTCTGCCTGTTAAATACATTTGCAGAAATACTCAATGCTCTCTTTACCCGTTTTCAATGAGTTCAGGGTATATAAGGTCATACCTGTGATTCTCTCACGCTGTGACAAGTCTTCTATATATTATATAAACATATTTTGAGCCCTATTTGCAGTACTTACTTTTAGCAAAATTCACGCCAGCCAAGCACCAAGAGATAGAATCCATTTATACGACCAGGACTTTACTCACAATCTTTTTTTACGGAAATTAAATGTAAAAATACAGCTTCCACTTTATTTTTGTTCACGTTGTTTTATTGTTAGCTTTAATTCATATATGTATTTTTTTTTTAAATTTAATTATTTGTTATTTCATATATCGTAGTATGTTTTCAAACAATTAGATTGTATGCAATTAAATCTCATTTCATATAAATACGCTGGTTGCATAATACTTCTTCTTTTATTTTTTATTTTTGGAACCTTTCCACAGATTCCGACAATTTGTGATTCAATATAATTATTAGGGGCTTGCTTGGGTAGATATATGTATCGTTTCTGCATGCTTCATTTGGATGTGTGCGTGGTTGTAAATCATGTCTTTTGGATTTTGTTGTTATTTGGTATTTCATTTGGTTGGTTTGCCTTTAAGTTTATTTACTTTAACATATATATATCTTATGCATGTATGTATATACTTGAGTGGTGCCATTGAGACTACAAATGTTGCTTTGATTTCAGCTGCGGATACCTCATCGCTGGGGTTATCCAATTTGTTGTATCTTGTTTTAGTTAACTACAAATTGATAAAAAGGATTTGGTTTTGCTTTTGTTCATTGCGCTTCACACATTATGTAACGTATATATGTACTTTGTGTCTGTCTTTCGCTTAAGCTATTGTATGTATTTTATTTCTCATATGCTTCAATAATACATATATATATATTTATATATATATATATATATATATATGTGTGCTTATATGTATGCAATTTCTTATATTGTTGGTGCATTCGGAACAGGTTCTTGTTCAATTTAGTTCTTCGTGAGGAACCCAAATTGGGCAGTCGATGGTGTACTCTCTGCTAAATCTCACTGAAACCCATAAATAAACCCCTCAGCCATTTGATTGACAAGCTCGTTTTGCGATATATGCTTTTGATGCTTTCCTAAACGGCACAACCTTTTTGTTATATGTTTCTAACTATGGCTCTAACATGATCTATGTAACGTTCTCTATTTCGCAGGTCTCTTTGTTGGTTCTTTATTGGCTGCCAAGCAAAACTTTCGTCAAAGTCAAATACTCAAGTTTATAGAGAATTTTCAGATTTGCGATAGTTTCTCTCTCTCTCTCTCTCTCCCTCTCTCTCGTGGCCATCGACTGCCCCCTCTTTGGTGTGACGCGTGCCTGAATCGCTATTGCTTTTGTCATTTGTTCGATAAACTTGCAATTGTATCTTAAGTTCTTTACGTTTTATATGTTTCACTTGTCTTTTGTATTTTACAAAGTTTTAATCAACAGTTACAAAAGTTTTGTTCTTAGTAGTTGAACTATGGTGGGTTACGTTCTTAATAGATACATATACTTGTGTTACTTTTTTGCTTTTGTTTTTTAATTTAATACTACAAACTTGTTTGGTTTACGCATAGTTGATGTTTGTTAGCTTCTCCCTTTACTACTTCTCGCTCCTCTGGTACTTATAAATATAACTTTGGTTTACAAAAGATGATCTAAACTATCAAAACTTAAAAAATAACACAACGAACAGCATAATCACATACCAGGCTAACCAAAATGTAGACTTCCGCATTATCCAGGATGTCATCGCCACCTGGAAAAGTGACACCTGCGATTCGTTGCTCGCGGTTGTTTGAACTGTTTTAAAGCTTTTCAATTCGGTTTTTGGATACGCCAACAACTTAAGCTAAACCATAGGTATATTCGCTTTATATTTAACATAATATTATATATATATATTTATTCATATAATGTATTCCAAATCGTAATCCTTTATATTTGTATTAAATTCTTGTTGCATGGAGCATTTGCCTACCTAAAAGTAAACGCCTAACAAAATGGGGTTCTTTTGTGATGTGGTTGCTTTAACTAGAAGCTACGAGGGCTGCTCAATAAGTTTCCCAAATGCGGCATTTGCTGGGGAAGGTTGGGACAAGATTTTTGATAGTTTCCATGCTAAGATTCTTGACTTTCTATTAATTTTTTTTGCAGCAGCAGCCCAAGGGCACAAATCCCAAATTTTATTTTGATTTTACTCTGTTTTTAAAGGGTTTTTTGTGTGAAATATGTTATTGGGAATCGGCACTGTATGTTTTTGTCGGTTCGGAAGATTATTACAAATGGAAGACCTTCATCATAAATAATATGCTTAAAGAGAATTCTTTAGTTCATTTAATTTCATTTTTCGGTAAGTGTTTGATTGATTCTTAACGAGTTTAATGAGTTTAATGCTCGCAGGATACAATTTGCGAGCTTTGGAAAATATTTTTGTGTTTCTTTTGTAGCTGTTTGAAAGTGTTTCTAATTAATCAAATCACGATGAGATTATTTTATTATATTTGCTGAACTCTATAAGCTTTAGAATTTAAGGTACAAAATTTGCACAGGCCTCTGGTTGAATCGCCATTTTCACAAGATTTACTTGTGGTTATTATGGAAATATTTTAATGAGAATATAATATAATTATGCATATAATTCTTCGAGTGGTGACGTTTTCAAAATGATTGACGTCAATTCGGATTCCTAATATGGGATCCAAATGGAAATTGATTTACGAGTATTATCTTTGGCATGTGCGAAACTTATTGGGCAGCCCACAGATACTGTTATTACACATATATGTATTTATATATTTATATATTGGGGGCTAGACATCAAAAATCAGTACTGCTTGTCAAAGTGTTACCTAAGCCTAGTTTTAGTTTTTTTGCTTTTGCTAACAATTTTTCATTTATTAATATATATATATATATATATATATTTGGTTTTAATTTTGCGCACAACATTTATTGCAACTATTATGAATTGAATGTGTTTGTTTGGTTTTTGGGAACTGCTGCCGGATCTTTAGTTGTAAACACCCCTGACCATGCCCTCGCGATTGCGCGATTGCCACTTGCAGGTGAGGATGCGTATGTAGGTGCGTCGGAAGGAGGCATTGCACAGGGCGTAGCACATGGGATTTATTGTGGAGTTGATGTAGCACAGGGCATAGAAGAAGTCCCACAGCTCGGTGGGTATGCAGTCCGAGCAGGTGGTCAGCGGCTTGATCAGCACCAGTATGTTGTACGGTGTCCACGTGATGATGAAGCTCAGCAATATTGCCGAGAGGGTTTTGGCCGCCTTAGATTCCTGTCGCTTCTCCTGTGACTTTTTCTTCTTCTTGGCCGCATTGCGCGCATTGAGCAGCGCATTCGGGCCGCCCGCCTTGCCCAGCTGCTTGGGTATGACCTTCGCATTGAGCAGACGCATATCCTGCGGTGCATGCGACATGCGCCTGCCCAGGGGCAAACTGAACTCCGAGTCTCTCGACGGCAGCGGTCGTCGCGTGAGCGGCGGCACCGTAACCACGCCCACAGTCGCATTCGGTGCCGACACATCCTCGTGTATCATCTTGATGGAGGGCGCACAGTCGCCATGCGCGCTCGAGTTGCCCACCGTGCTGCCGCCGGCCGCAGTGCCGCTGCTGCCATTCGCTCCGCTGGCGCCATCGGGCGGCAGCCGTATGAGTATTGTATAGACCGAGTCCTGGCTGACCGAGCGCGACCCAATGCGATTGCTCACGGGCAGAGTGCGTGAGTCACGTAGCGTGTTCACATTCGAGTTGCTGTTGGCTCCGCCGTTCATGTTGTTATTGTTGCTGGCAATACCAGCGGCAACACCGCCGCCTACACCGACGCCGACGCCAACGCCACCGCCACCTCCGTTGCCGTTGGCGCTGTTTATGCTGATATTGATGTTGACGTTACCGTTGCCGTTGTTGCCATTGCCGGTCGCATTAATTTCCTGCATTTGCATCTGCGAAATGGAATTGAGTGGCGGACGCAACGGCGTCGGCGACACATCCGCCAGCATTATGCTCGGTGGCCGCACCCCGCTCACGCTGCCGCCCATCGAAAAGTTGTCGCGCATGACGTTCATCGAGGTGCATCTGCGAACGACAAAATGGACACAAAGGTATGTCGCTCTTTAGTAAAGCTCCCCCACACGGTGGAGGCATCTGGTGCTCGACATTGACAGGCCTTACAGCTGACAAGCTACGACAACAACATAAACAACAACCAAAATGGAGCCGCGGGTGCAAACTGTCCCGTCCATCGGCCAAGCACACCCACAACTAGACATACACACATAGGAACACACAACACGTCACACAGGTGATTAACGCACAGAAATGGAAAAGCAACCGAGAGACTTGGAAACTGAAATTGCTTCTCGTTGGGAGCTCTTTGAAACTGAAATGTGATCAATTTTCAGGTTATTTTCTTACACAAAAGGCAATATTGAAACTAAAGCCAAAATATAGCTTTTTAGTAAACTGCAGAAATATAATTAATATATAAGTATAAATTAGAAATTCTTAATGAAATAAAAACAGCTAGTTGTAAATAAAAATAACACAATTTTTTATTTCCAATTAATTTTAGCATCGAATCGAAATCAAAAATTGGATGTTAATATATCTCAGACACAGGCACAGACTCTAAAACTCTTATTAGCTGATTTTAGAATCTCATAGTTTTAAGGAACACTTCAAAGGTGAAGGTGAGTTAAGTTGAGTTAAGTAAGTTATCGTATCTGATAAACTGATCTGTATAGAAAAAAATAAAAATACTGAAAAATAATACTGAAGTTCAGTTGTGTAAAAAAAAGATATATATATATAATATTACCAGCAGGGATATCCTGGCCTTGCCCGTGGCAAGTAAATTCTCTCAAAAATGTTTGAAAATGATTCTGAAACTAATCGGAAAGTATGAAACATGTCTTAAATGATTTTCCACCAATCAATCAAGCAGTCAGTCAGTCGGAACCAACAGTTTTATATATAGAAACTATCAAAACTCTAATTGTTAAACTGTAAAATGCTTTGGTTGAGTTATATGAGTTAATTCTATGAAATCATTTAAAAAGTTTATGAAACTTTAGTTTAAAGAAACTCGACTCCTTGAAGAAAAGTGAATAAATGCCTTGCAACTCATATTTAAATTAACAAAAACGCAAACATATTTTTTTATTCAAGCATTATATAAGAGATTATATGAAGAGTAAATAAATAACATTGTGCAAATCAAATCATAGCCCACATCAGAATTATAAACAAAGGTAAATCAGCTAAGAATCCCCATCGAGTGGCAACTAATTTATTTATAACAATTGGCAAATAGGGTCTTAACAGATTGAAAACAAATCAAAGACAAATCAAACTCCAATTAAAATCACAAAAACTGAATGCCAAAAAAAATGTCTCACATCAGAAGCTTGCAAAGCTGCCACAAATTAAGCATACGAAACGGAAAAGGTTTCCAATTCTCTATTGAGTTTTCCCATGGCTGTGCATTCAGCTGTGTAACTGTGGAACGATGCGAGTACTTTTCGAGTGCACTGTGCGTCTATTGATGGCTGTGCATGTGCAGAATGAAACCGTTGTGTGATGGAAATTATTTTCTTTTTGTTTTTTCCTTGGGGACAGGCATTGAAAAACGAATCGAGTTGATTTTTTGTTTGTTTGGAATGAAGTGCTTTGAGTGCATTTGAGATGCGAGACACACACATGCAAGACACACGCACGCACACACAAACTGACACACATACACACACACACAACACATAGCAAGCAGGCGAGTGTGTGTAAGTATGCTATATATATAGATATATATATATGTGGGTGTGTGTGTGTGTATGTAAATGTGTGTGTGTGTGGCTGGGTGCAGTGTTTGCTTACTCGAATAAGACGATTAAAAAGAGAGCTGCTTTTTTTGTACTACCTGGAGACGGAGCTTTGTAAAGGAGTTTCAATTGTTACTGGTGTTGCATACCCTAAATCAGATGGCTCCTCCTGCTCGTAGGCAAAATCGTCGGAGTCCTCGCGGCCCGAATGCCACCACGCGATGCACCACTCCTTGATGCTGCCAAAGCATGAATATGGCTTTTTGATTGTATTGGTGCTCTTGATCTGCATGTGCACAAAACGAAAGAAAAACCAATGAGTACATATGTAAAACGGCCGGAAAAAGCATGCATCTGCTTGTTTAACTTACGCTTGACTTGCGCGAGTGCATCCCATGATAGCCCGAATCGATGACCATGTTGGTCATGTAAACGCTTTCCGCATCCGCCGAGCTCTCGGAGCGCGGTCGCCGCCAGGTGTCGTGATCATTGCCGCCCAACTGGGCAAAGGCCAGCAAGCCGCCAGATGTGTGATTCACCACGGTGTTTTCATCGCTGAAATTGAGTGGAAATTCGATTTAATATTGCACTTGTTTGTTTACTTCGAAAGGCGCTGAAAATTATGCTATTGAATATTTTCGACATTTGCAATAAATACAATTAGTTTGCTTTATTATTATGTTGATTATTTAATGCAACTAATATAGTTAATTTATTCATTAAGTCACAACACTTAATAAATATTTAGTTTGATTCCTTTACTCATGATAAGAATTTTTACAGGACCGAAATGAAAACAACAAAATGAAATTTTCAAAAAGAAAATTTCAAATGAAATAAAACGTGGATATTGAGACCTATTGTTTATAAAATTCACCATCATATCATAAATAGAAATTGAAGCAAAGTTAAACGTTTTGCGACATACATATAAGAAAGAGTCTTACTTAGAAGTTAGGCAAATGTGGCGAGTGGGAGATAGAAATAAGTCTTGCTCGATCTGAAGATAGAAATAAATCTCGCCTAGCCTGAGGAAAGGAAATTATATAGATCTGTGTATACTACTGTGTATACTGCACGAGAACTTATATCTTGTAAACGAGTACTTATTACCCGCAATTCGATAATTATCGATAGCATGTTAATGGACGAAGATATCGGCAAAAATAACGAACCATTCTTCGTTTGGTTTAGGAGAATATATATATGTATATGGACGGACATGAATTGATCGACCCAGATCTTTGTCCTGATCAAGTATATAGTACTATATACTTTTCCACAAAAACATAGTTTTACACATTATTATTGTCTTTAGGGTATAACAATAAGTACACAAGAAGTAGTTGAACACCTGATCTGATATCGTCAAATGCGTGGATAACAACGAATCTTGAGAGTACGGACAATAGACTCACCTGCTATTGGAACGCTTGCTGGAATCCTTTTTGCCCGCCTGCAAATTGGGCAAATCCTTTTGGCGCTTCTTCGTCTCGCGCCAAATGCGAAAGTAGAGAAAACACATGATGGTCACCGGAAAATAGAATGCCGCAAGCGCTGTGCCAAAGGTAATATACTGATTCGTCTCAATGAACTGTATATAGCACTCGTCCTTGGGCACCGTGCGCTTGCCCTCGATGTAGGGCCAGCTGTAGATCCAGGGCGGCCAGAGGAGCAAACTGATGCCCCAGGCGGCGCCAATCATGACGGCCGCCTTGTTGGTCGTGCGCTTGGCGCGATAGGTCAGCGGCCGTGTAACACTAAAATAACGATCGAAGCTGATGATCAGCAGATTCAGCACCGAGGCATTCGAGGCCAAATAGTCGAGGGCCAGCCAGGTGTCGCAGACATGCGGCCCCAGCGGCCAATAGCCCAATATGGTGGTGACCGCAAACAGTGGCATCGAAATGGCGCCGATTGCAAAATCGGCAATTGCCAGCGAGAAGAGGAAATAATTGCTGATCGTCTGCAACTGTTTATCGATCTTGAACGAGATCATGACCATGACATTGCCAGCAACTGTTACCGCGCTCAGAATCGCCGCTACGAAGCCCATAACCACCATCGAGGCCAGCGAGTACCTCGGCCCCTTTGTCTCAAAGCCCAATGTGCCGTTCGTCTGATTCCCATACGGATCGTATAAGCCGCTGGCTGCCGTTGACGTCAGATTCTCCAACAGGGCCGTTAACAATGTGGTGCTGGTTGTGGGGCTGATTGTGGGGCTGCTGCTGCTGCTGCTCGTTGTCGCAGCCGTTGTTGTTGTTGTTGTGGTTGTGCTCGTAGTTACGGTTTTAAACAACGGCTCCAGTATGCTGGGTGGCCCATGGGCGGCCAAGGCCAAACTCATAACTGGCTCCATGGCGTATGCGTGATATTTGATTTGCTTTGATTTGATTTGATTTCAACTGCTGCTGAGTATTTGCGTAGCACATATATATTCAATATAGTATTTGCTTGTGTTCGCGTTTGGCTGTGATTCCTAAATGGCAGTCTGTGCCAGGCGTTTGTCCTGCTGCTGCTGCTGTAGCTGCTGCTTATCCTTGTTGCACCCACGCGCTGGCGCTGGCGCCTTCCTAGTGCGCATTTTTGCACTGGCCCTGCAAAGACAACAAAAAATACAATAAAAACAAGAGAATTATGAGCTGTCGCAGGCCTTTGATACGAGCAGAAGCCCCAACACCAGCCGCACAACCGCACTCCCGCTCAAAGAAAGACACACACACACAAACACACAAAGGGAGAAGAAGAAGGAGAAGACGCCTGCGGCTGCTTTGCTTTGTCCTTTTTGCAAATGACATTTTCTGTGTGATTTGTTTTAATGAAAATGTAAATGAAAAACTGCTTGAATGCGTTTCCTTGGCAGTCACAGCACAGTCACAGATAAACATGCCACGCCCACGCTTAGCATTATTTGCCTTGCTGTTGTTGGTGTTGCTGCTGCTGTTGTTGTTGTTGTTGGTGTTGGTGTTGAGCCAACAAAGGGCCAACATGCAACAGTCAGTGTAGGCAAAAACTTGGCTGGCGACTCGAAACAGCTCCTCGATACGAACCCAACCGCCTTCTACCCCCCGCGCCCTAAGCACTTTGGCACGGAAATGTTCAAGGCGGCTTCCTCTGACAGTTTTCAAAACTATTGATGTTGTCATTGGCTATATATACACCCATACACACCCATACACACACACACACACACACACACACACACACACACTCAGACACACACTGATATACAGTCTATACATTGTGTTTTGATTTGGAAAGTTTTTTAATAAGTTACGCATACGCCGCATGGTGCGAAGAGAACTTTTCTGTTGCCTCGCTCACTGATTTATCTGACATGATATGCGGCATGATTGATTCGTATTGAGTCCATTGCAAGCTGTGGACCATTATTCTCTGCCGCATTGACAGCATTTAAGCATTGTCTGAATGTCTCAATGATGGAGCATTGTCCGTGCGTTATGTTTTTCCGCAGCACAAATCAAATTCAAAATGTGTCAAAAGGCTTTTCAGCGTCTGAGCATGAAAAATGAGTGGGAAAATAATGCGACAAAATAAATAACATAAGTTTATAATTGAATTATGGGATTTTAAGCCGAGACCAAAATAGATTTCTGTGTATGTGTGTGTGCGCACAATAAATACAATTAAATTAACTGATAATGGAAAGCTTTTAGCCAGCCACTGAAAATGCACATGGATATTAAATCTAAATGCTTTTTACGCCTTATTAGAACTAAGCTGGCAAGGCTTCAAAATTAAATTATTGTTCAATCAGAATTCTATTGATAGCGGGTTCAAAGTAGCGAAAACAGTTTGAGCAAGAAATTCAAATTGTTAACTTAATTACAAATTTCGGCAAAAACTTAAGTAAGTGAGAGCTCCGTTTTAACACAATAGGATTTTGATTTCTGTTAGAAATTGTATCTATTTATAAATAAATTACAAACAAAATCTAAAAAGTAACTCAGAAATGTTGTCATACTAACTATGCCTCACATAAACCCCTTCTGCGTCCTCTATGCGGTTTACAATAAGCATTACAGTATTCAGTTTGGGGTCTTCTCCTACTGATTCTACTCTACACGTTTTACCCTTAAGCAAGTAGATAGTCCTGTTTATCTGCTTGCCCCCAAGGTTTTTAAAAGAACGGACAGTTGAGGCTGATATTATTCAAGAATTAACTTTTCATATTGTGAGACTGCATAAAACAGAATACATGCCAATGTGTGTTTGTGTATATGTGTAGCAGGTGTAGCAGTTGCAAATAAAGATGAACGAGTTTTGCATGCGTACAGAATATCTCGTGTTCAGTCACTTTTTGCTAGAGCACTTTTACTTGTAAGCTGCCTTATCCATTCAGTTAATAATGCAAGCCAGCGCCCACCGGGCTTAGAACTTTGTCCAACCAGCTAGTTAAATATTAAGTTAAGGGCAAAATTAAACTTTTTAAAACCTCGGACACTAAGTCGTGTACTAAAAGCTCCTAGACTTACTGAGAAAAGACTTCAACATACTTAAATGCAGTTTGAAATAAAATTTTTATATTTTCATATAGCATATTTATGGGGGACCTAATGGCAGTTATATCTAAAGCTTTGCCAATATTGCAATATGCACATAATTAAAATATAATATTTGAAATTGAAGAACATTAGAACACAATTTAGTTAAACACTGCAGTAAAACCAATCGAAGCGAAGTAGGTTGCTTGTTATAATTTCTATAATATATTGATATTATATTAACTATTCCGTTCCCATACAATTTGTGGGGCAGCGAAGAGCACAGTGTAAGAAAAATAATAATTAAAAAAAATAATATAAACATAAATCTTGAAATTTGCTAATAAAACACATATTTATCGAATTGAAGTGTTGGGAAAGAAAGTTAGTCGAAGTTTAACTACAGAGAATCCGATTTTCTGTACATGGTGCAGATGTTTAAATTTGTTTGATTCCAACTTCATTTAAATAATAAGCAAAAGTATTTGATATCCTTTTCAACAATTTCATTAGCTGAATTCTGTTTAAATTTGCAGCTAAAAGTATGCCCAACATTGTGTAAACTTTTATCCACAACATTTTTTCCAACAAGAGCTGAACTTTTGCATTAGCCAAAGCTAATGTCAGAGCCGCTCAGAAAAATGAAATGACAGAAAAAGTATTCAAAAAGTATGCAAAAAGGGAAAAGCCATTTTAATAACATGTAACGAGCGCCATAATTGAATGAGCACAAAGTTGTGCTAAAATTAAAAATTTTAATTAAATAACGAGCCAAGAAATGTAAAAAGCTGCTTTTAAATATGACAAGTGCTTAACTTGTAGCTTTCCACATGCCTGTCAAAGTGTTTTGTGAATGAAATTGAACTTGCAACCGAAATAGCCCACAAATTGGTTTTTTGAGCAAGTCTCAACAAATCGTCGGCCAATTAGACGCGAGCCAGTTAATAAATCAATCACAAATCCGAATATTTATCTCAATTGTAGTCTGGCACAAACATGCGCATAAATCAAAGCGGGGGGGTCGCTCGAGGCGTGCGGGGAGTGCCAATAAACAAACAGCCAAATGAAGAGCGCCATAAATTGGAGCCCAACAAATGCCAACAACAACATCAACAACAAAAATAGTAATTGGCCAAAATAACAAGAACAACAAAATGAAAACAAATTCTTGCCGCCGCTGTCGCTTCCTGTTTTTGTGTGTGCGTGTGTGCGTGTGTGCATGTGTGCTTGTGTCTGTGTGTTAGCCTGGCTAACCTGCCCAACCTTCTGGCCACGTCAGCTTATGTTGGGCAAGGCCAATCTTGGCCAACTGTCGGCTTAGCTTAACATTCAAATTTGTTGGCCGTCGATTCTTGGCAAATAATCGAATTGGCTGCCGCGCCCGTAAAAAAGGATTTATGGATTTATTATGAACATACCAACACACACACACACACACGCACAGACACATACGCGCGAGCAACCTGCGGCTATGCGCGGCGTTTCTTTTGCCAATTTATTAGGCTATTTTTATGACAGGCGCACACACACAGAAACCAATTCACACACACACACGCACACACACGTTTTCAAGTTTGATCAGCTCATCAGCAGCTGCCTTTATTTCATCTACAATTTTATGTACAATTTTATGTAGAATTTTATTTTACATTTAATGCGGGCGCTGTCAGCTCAACACACACACATAGATGCCTTCCTACTGGCACGAACACACACGCACACATAACCGCCCACTGGGATCTTAAGCTTTTAAGCAACAACAAAAAAATAGAAAAAAAAACTAGCTGCCGACTTTTGTGCGTTTGCTGCTGCTGCTGCTTAGCTTTTATGTTAATTTCTTTGCGCGAGTTTAATTGCAGGCTCTCTGGCGCTGGCCTTTGCCTGCTGGCGGAAATTGAATCGCTGTGCTGCTGGCTGCTGCCTGCTGCTGGTTGCTTACACCTTATGCTCGTGGCAGGCCCAATGCTAAGCATATTGCGAACTGTTTGCCGCGCCCCACCGACCCGTTCCGACCTACTATTCGCAAGTTTAATCAAAACGAGAGCACTGGAAACAGCAACAGCAAAACGGCGTTGCCACGCACACACACACGCACACGCAAGCATCGGTCTAGCTCTCACACATTATTACACGACAGCATCGCTCTAACTCTCACACACGCAAGCAGCGCTCTTGCTCTCACCACTTACATGGGTCTTCCGTTGCGGGGCAGGCACTCGTGCTTTCGCTCTCCTAAACTCGCTCTCTCTGTCTCTCTCTCTCTCTCTCTCTCTGTGTCGGTTTGTATGCTTAACTCCCACCACTAAGTAGCTTAGTTGTGCACGCTCAGCGTCCGTTGTAGCGTTGACATTGTTGTTGCTGCTGCTGGCTGATGGTACTGCTGCTGCTGCTTCTGCTGGCTGCTGCTGCCGCTGCTGTTGATTTTGACCATTTGCCGCTCCCAAAAGTATGCTTTGTAATTTTTGTATTGTGCGCGCACATCTTTACTGGCATCAGCCTCGGCATCAGCGTCAGCGTCGCTGCCTGGCTCAATTCATTCCGCCGTTTTTTTTCGCAAATTTTATTATACACAATGCGGGCCGCTGCGTCAACGCCGACGTTGACGTCGACGCTGCCGTCAACGCTCTGACGCGCTTCGCGTGTGAGCGCTGGCCCCCAAGTTTTTACATTCGGCCTGCGCTTAACATTGTAATCAAATTTATGCTTTTGCGTTATAGATAGATACAAATATATATTGCGATTTTCTTTTATATTTTCTATTTAGTTTTATACAAATTTAAACGCGGTTACACAACAGCACTGCACAGTTCCACTACATTGTTATAGTATTATTAAAAAATTATTTATTCTAGCGTGCTTGTTTTATTTTATTGCGAGTATAATCCGTTGTCCGCGCATAAATAAACGTTGCTTTTTTCACGTTGCGCGTTGCACGAGTTCGCCGTCAGCTGGAGAGCTGCTGATGAAACCAAGCGCACGTTGCTAAATCTCGTCCGGGACTGAAGCTGAAAAGCTTCAAGCACATACCTTAACGGTACCTTTGCCGCGAGAGCAATACGCAGTACGAACGCGTGCGCTCTCTCTCTTTCTCTCACTTTCTGTCTTACTCTCGGCTCTGGCCAGTCAGGAAGCTGTGTGTGCCTGTCACTATATGTGTGGGTGTGAGCGCGTGGTTGAGTCCGCCTCTGTATGGGTGTGTGTGTGTGTCAAAGCTGTTATCTTTCGCTTTGTGCTGGAATTTGTGTTTGTTGGGCAACACGGCGAGCATCCTCAGCAACACCCTCAATAATGGTCCCAGCCCGGCTAATGTGTGTGTGGGTGAGCAAAAGCGGAAAAACTGTTACAATGCGCGCGCGTGTGTGTGTGAGTGTCGTATGCGTTCGTACACTGAGCGGTATTTAAGGTAATGTCCTTTTTAATGATTTCCATGCAATATATTAAAACAAAAAGTAAATAAAAGCAACAACAAAGACAATTTTACCGGAAAGTGTTGTATGAAATCTTGTTATTGAATTATTTATTTGTTTATTTTGTGATTCAAACCTATTTTCTGAAGCTCTGAATGAAAAATGTATAAATAAATGTTTCAACGATTTTAGCAAATCTAAAGTGAGCACTAAAAATAATATATTTTTATTTTCTAATAAGTAGAAAATTAAATTTGAAGAAAAGCCCGAAGCCTGGTCAAAGCCGGATAATATCAACACGTGCATATACTATAATTAGTATAAAATTAATTGCTATCACAATCATATCTTTTTTTAACAATGTATTACAGTCCAATTAAAGCAATACAACTTTATACAAAATGTTGATTCAACATCTAACACGATGTGAGCTCTAGACCCCTGTTAATCATATGTTTACTGACAATGCCGTGTTTTAATTTAAAACTTCTGAATGTTGCACAGCGCAACAACTTTCGTGAAGTGTAGCGTTAAGCTGCAACAGCAACAACAGAATAAAAACACAACACAAAACTAAATGGATGAATATGAATGAAAGAGTCGCAAACAGCCAAGTGCAGAGTCCAAATGCTCAACTGCTGGACTGCTAGCTAGCAGGCAGCTGGGCAGGCGGAAGGAGGATGAGCTTGTGCCCCAAGGGGACATTGGCTCAAGCATGCTTCTGTGAAACTGTAGCACAGTTGCTGTTTGTGCTCTTCATCAGGCTGAACAGCAGCAGTGGCAGCGGTAGCGGCAGTGGTAACTTGTGTCTCTGAATAGGACTCGCAGGATGATGGAATGGTGAGGACGACAATGATGATGATGATGGGGCTCGGTTTCGGTGTGTTGGGGCATTCGCTGGGTTTGTGAAGTAGGCGCTGGAAAAGCGCATTCTCACATTTCAATTAAATAATACCACGAGTGTCTTTGAATTTTTTATCTCTTTCGCTTGTTTCTCTGCCTTTTACTTTTATTAATAGCAACTCGTGTTGCGCTTAAACCGGACAATGGCCAAGAGCTAATGCGTGCCGGCAGCTCACTTGTGGCTGATGGTTATAAAAAGCCCATGGGCACTATCCTAGACTCTATACAACATTTCCATTAGTTTTGTATGTATTTTTCAGCAAAATGGCCAAAGTAAGCGTGGGTACTGTTCATATGTTAAGTAAATCCTAAAAAGTTTTCAAAAGTAGGCAACATTTTCATAAAATTCTACACATTATCATACTTGGCCATCGACTAACAATCTTCTTTTTTTTTTTTTTTATTCTGAAAAGCATCTTTCAACTAAAAATATATTTAATTATATAAATTATATATAATTCATTCAAAATATAAGTTATTTCCAAAATGAATAATATGAAGTTTTTTTTTAGAATTCGGGAGTCTAGGAAGAGCATTAAGAACGAATTTGTAAATTTAAAAAATGTATGCCATTATATTTCAGTCATTTCCACATGGAAAATCTATGGAAAGTATGTTCTGTAATCTTAGCCTATGAGAATTATCCTAGACTCTAAACAGCATTTCCATTAGAATCATATGTTTTTCCAGCAAAATGACCAACGTATGCATGGGTACTTTATATATGTTAAATAAATCCTTAAAAGAAAATCCTTTACATAAAAAGATACTCCCTGAGATAAGACATAAGACATATTCAAAGTATGCTCTATAATATAAAATCAGGGGAAAATAAATTTGCTTGAAAACAGCAAAAAGAAGGTAAAATTCAAAAATCTTTTAATTTGGTCGTTTTTTAAATATATTTTAATTTATTTTTTTGTTTGTTTGCATTTTTCTTGTATTAAATTTAAATATATATATATATATATATATATATATATATATATATATATGTATATATAAAATATATAAGCATAAACGTTTACAAATATAAATATCCTTTATCATATTCCAGCGTCTCTGTCTCTCGCTTGTCTCATATCTCATCATTTCTCATCTCTCACACGCTTCATTCCAATTGGAATCCCACCGTCTAACATATTTAAGATGTGCCACAATAACTTTTGCTAAACTCCCATATACCAACTCATATCATATACCTATGTATTGTATGCCTGTATTAAGGTTTAAGTATATGGTTTACTCATTAATTATGAATAATACATAACTATGTAAGTATATTTACAAAAGCGATAAGGTCAACAAAAGATCTGTGTGTTGTTTTTGTTTTTTGTTAATTCTGTTTTTGTGTTTTTTGTCTATTTTTGTGTTTGGATAACAATTAATATATAATTATGTATATATATTATGTATATTAAGTAGAATATTTGTTTGCTGCTCTGGATGGTTTGCTGCACGCATATTACGATCGATATATATATGATAGATATATATAGTTGCCAGTTGCTTGAGAGTTAGAGATAGGACATGTACATAGTTATTATAGTAAGTATGAGTAATTGAATAATGGGTAGGCTAAAATACAATGCAAAAAAAAGTAAAATTACGTCTTATGCTTAAGTTTAACGACACAAATTTTTGCTTGACCCGAACGACGCGCTGCTTAGCATTTACCATATATATGTTTACACATATATATTTATATATCTAAGCATATATATTATGTATTTAATAGATACGTGGAGTGGGATAGGGATACGCCTTTTAGCATTAGCCTACATGGATGGCTGACAATTGTTGCATAGCTGCTGCTCCTGCCGCGGCTGCTGCTGCCAGGGCTCATCCCTCGGAATAGGAGCTGAGGCTGCTGCGCGTGGAGCCCGTGAAATGATCGCGCTGCAATGTATCCGCGGGCATAGAAACAATCAGGGCGCCGCCATACAAGGTTTCCATTTCATCCAGCTGCTGTGCGAATGTTTCCTCCAGACGCTGAACACAGAATAAATTCAATTAAATAAGATTTGATTAACACAAGTTTGTTTTGTAAAATTATTAACATATTGTTTTCTTTTCTTTTCTTTTCTTGCAAATCATACGCAATAACATTTTGAAGCATCAACATCCAATGTGTCTACTACATAGCAACTAGACTAGTTATCTATATAAGTATATATATTTGATATTAAGCATGCATATTAATAATAAATATAGTATATAGCTTATAGCTGTGTTGTCAGTAGAGATAGTTATAGATAAAGATAGTATAGAGTTAAGACTCATAGACTAACCTCTTGTTGCAGCCGCTGTTGTAGTTGCTTTACGAATAGAAGAAGAGCCGGCAAGAAAAGGTTTTTGTTTTGAACATAATTTCGATTTTTTTTTTTTAGTTTTGTTTTTTGTGTTTGTTTTATATATGAAAAGCAGCGCGTAGTTGTTGTGGTTGTTGTTGTTGTTGTTGTGATGTATGTGTGTGTACAGTGAAGCATCATGAAAGTGAATATCAATGCATACATATACATATATGATTAAAGTAATTAAGTGTATATGCTTGGCATGTTTCATAAGTATTATTTTACAGCGTTTAATTTATTTTAATTTATGAAATTTTTATTCTTTTATTTTGGTCTAAGTACGGTCTGCATTATATAATACTGCTATACGGAATGCAACGGTTGCGGGGGTAGGACGCGGGCTTTGGCTTAACTAAACAATTTAATATTTGGCATAATAAATAAGCAAACAATTTTTTAATTAACAAAAAAAACTTTGGCAAAAAATTTGTTATGGCAATTGACAGCGTTTCGAAAAGGGGGAAAAAGGAAAGGATTTCAAGAATAGTCCGAAATTATTTATAGTCTAGTTAATATGATATGTGTGTATGTGTATGTGTGTGTGTGTAGTAAGCACCAAAAGCATACAGGGTAGAGGGAAGGGAAAATGTAGCGCAGTTTAGTTAGTAAAGTGTGTTAAGAGACGCTGCTTAAATGAGGCGAGTGCGTAGAGTTTAGAGTTTTGGTATTTTGTTGTTTTTAAGTATGCATTAGGCGCAGCTGGTGGGGCGCCTAGGCGGCCGAGGTGTCCTCGTCCAGGCTAAGCTGACGTTGGTTAATGCGCGGCAGCCTGTACTTGGCCGCATACAAATCGTGATAGAAATCATCCGTGACGCTGCCATTGTGTGTGGGCTTCAGCGTGGAGCGGAGCTGCGGCTGCACCTCATCCAGCAAGGCGGCCGCCTTGCGGCCCGCATCGAATATCAATTCGGCATCGCTGCAGTAACGCGTCGAGGTGCTCAGCTCATGCATGTTATACATGGACTGGGCGCTGCTCAGCGAGGAACGTCCGCTGCTGCGGCTGGCCAGCGACGGACGCTTGATGGCAAACGAGGTCGAGTGCAGCAGGCGCTGCGTATGGGCCCTCAGCACGGGACCCTCGTGTATGCGCAGCTCCACGGGCGCATCGTTGACATCAGGTCGACCGAAGCGATTCGCCACCAGGCCTAGCTCTTCGGGCGTCTTTGGTGGCGGCGGAGTTGTCTGCTTGAATGTACTCATCGCTGGCTTGGCATTGCCCTCCTCGGCGCTGTTTAGCTGCGGCGTGCTGGTTACCACCTTGACCAGCTCATTGGGCGCCGCGCTTGGCATTTGCGTAATTAAACGCAACTGACTTGGGCCCGGCATGGTAGCCACGCTGGCACGCTTCATTTGCTCCTCGCCGTCATCCTCTTCCGGCAGCACCAGTTCGCTGCGCATCTGGGCACGCTGCTGCTTATGCATTATGGGCGTGCTTGGCACGCTGCGGCTCAGATCGGGCGCTGAGCCCCTAAAATTGCCACGCCCACTGCCACCGCCCAGCATTAGTAGGGACGAACGCGAACGCGGCAGCTGCTGCACATCGATGAACGTGTTGCGTGGCAACAAACGCGCAGATCTTTCATTAAATATGCCGCGCAGCCGCAACGGCAGCTCCACCTCAAGATTCTCGAACTCGCCCCGATTGGCCACCAGGCCATGACGCCGCTCGTGCTCATCAATGGCAGCGCTTATCAGGACATTCAGTCGCTGATTAGAGTTGAGGTCAGTTCAGTTCAGTTGAGTTGAGTTGAGTTGGTTAGCACATGCAAGGCCCGAGACCAGCCAATTGGTCAATTGGTTGTTTGATATTTTGTTAGTAGTTGGAAAGCACAGCGGTAAGCATTTTGTTTTTAACATTTTCAATATATCATTATTATAAAAATATGTTTTTTTTTGTTTTTAGTTTTGTAGGTAGTATTGAGTAGGTACAGTAGTAGGCCACCAAAGTGTATGCATTTGCGTGGGGTGTAAAGAGAGAGAAAAAGTTGATCAAAATATATATAGTTTGATTTTGTTGAGCGCGTTGTTGGCGTTGTTGGGTTCAGCAAACTACAGACGTTTTACACGTGAGCAATAATCGAGGGCTTATATTCTTTAATTAGTTGCCAATACACAAAAATTAATGAGTTTGAAAATGAAATATATAGAGTGTCATTTGCCTTGTTCAAATATGTTGATATTTGATTTTTGAAACAATCTTTTTTATGCGAGCGTGAAAATTGTCAAGAAAAAAACCGAAATTGTTATTTTTTATATAATGAGCATGTTGTCTACATATAGCTTTATCCTCTCTGCTTTCGATAAACAGACTCTGAGGCCAAACGTCTTATACCCTTATCGAGGCTTTAACTTGATTGAAATTGTGTCAATCAACGAAGGCGAACAAACGCAAATTCAAGTTTAATATGGGCTTTACACTGACGCAAACAACTGCTTTTAGTGAGAGAGATGCACGTTTTATCAGATCAACAATTCTAGGATCAATAGAAAAGTCTGTTGATGATGGAACTGCCAAGTTCTCGGGCCTACTTATAAAAATCTCGCCTACAGCCGCACCTCATCATGATCTAAAACTTATCTAATTATTGAAATCGCTGACTCAATAATCACTAAATTGTCAGTTTCAATGGCCATATCTTTATAGCCAAAATTCAAATAAGAGTCCCTATAGGTTTTTCGACTCATAACGTTTCCACCTACATATAAGCACCTCACATATTGATTTATTCCAAGAAGTTCTACCTACTAATAAATAAATACTTTGGTAACCGCCTAGCTTATCAATTTGAGAAGTTATCGCAAATTGTTTTTTGACTCACAAGTTATCAGTATCATATCATATTAACATGCATATCTTCGCTCCACATATGCACTTGTACAGAAGTTAAGTCATAGATAATGTTTAGTTAGTCATGGCAGAGCTATTGCCTACGTTATCTTTAGTGCAGTTGTAAGATATAGCACATAATCATAAGCCGTAAAATTATTGCTCAACACTCAAATGCAAAACGTTGTGGCGTTTGACAGAACGGGAGGGGCGGGACAGGGTTTGGACTGGGCGAGGGCGGGGGCGGGGGCTGAGTCAAATGGGGTAGCACAAGACACCACAAATCACCACCGTAAACCAAGAAATGCATAATATTTACAACAGTATTTAATACTAACTTAAGATCAATCCAAATAAACTACGCACAACTGTACAAAAACACAAAACACCAACAAAATGAGGCGAATAGCTTTTGACAAAACTAGCCTTGGCTTGTAGGGGCTGTTGGGGACAATTGGGTTTTGGTGGGGCGGAGGGATAAGAGAGAGAGAGATAGCGGGAAAATGGTAACTGGTTACTGGGTGTACACACCTGTTTGCGTGGCACTAGCTGTTCGCGCCAATCGCGCAGCTCGGCCTTCAGGCGCTCATCGATCTCGGAGAGCTTGGCATGTTCATGCTCAACGAGAGCCTTGCGCTTCTCGTTCTGCAGCTGCTCCAGTTCTCTGTGGAGGGATGGGAAGGGAAGGTGTTAAATGTATGGATAATCTCTAACCCTAACTCAACTCACCTAATGGCGCTTTCACGCGTGGCACGCAACTCCTCCAATTGCTTCTGATGCTTGACCTCAAAGCGACGCTCCTCCTGCATGTAACGTTTCTTCTCCTGCTCCTGGAACTGTTTTGGAAAATAAAACGAGTGAAAATCTTTTCTCAACCCATCTTAACCACAACCTTACCTTCTTCAAGCGATCACGCTCGATCTCCGGATCGAGATTTGTGGATATGCGCAAGGATTCGCGGAACATGAGATCACGCGCCTTACGCTCGGCTCGAATGCGCTTGGGCAGAGCGCGCTTCTCGAGCGTTTGTTTTTTGAGGAGATCTTCCTCCTTGCGCTGCAGCATGCGCTTAACCTGGTCCAGCTCCTTTTCGTGGCGTATGATCATTTGATGTCGCTGCATGAAGCACAGCTCTTTGACATGTCGCTTCGACAGTTGGTGGCGTTCGTGAAGCTGCTTCTCCTCTAGCTCCCAGAGCAGCGCCTCGCGCGTACGCATCGCATTCTGTTTCTGCTGCAGGAAAGTACGATTTATGGTGGCCAAATGATCGCGATGCTTCTCGCTGAGCCGTCGCAGCAGCAGCTCGTGACGCTCCTTAAGTGAGTCGAGGAAAGCGCGCTCCTTCTCCTCGTGGTCCAGCTCCATGGCTGTGCGGCGCTGCTTGAACTCATCCTTGCGCTTATCTTTGGGAAACAGATCGACTTCCTGCTTGAGCAGGCGTATCTCCTGCTTAAGATTTTCGCGGAAAATCTTTAGCTCCTGCTCCTGCTCGGAGCGTATGCGTTTTGAGGAGCTGCGCAGCTCATTCTCCTGCGTCTGTTCAGTTTTCTCGACCAGCTGCTTGTGCTGACGCGCCAGCGTATCCATGTCCGCTTCGTATGTCTTTTCCAGCGAGATGCGCTCCTGCTCAAATCGACGATCCTGCTGCTCCTTGGCCATCTGTTCCTTGACATGCAGCTCGGTTTGCTGTTTCTTCTCCTGCTTCTGCAGCATTTTCAGTTCGCGCAGCTCCTGCTTGCGGAAATCGTGATCATCATAGATACGTCCGTTCTCCTCATCGCCATAGATGACCCGACTGGTCGTTGTGGTCATCTGCACGCCATCAATTTCGAATTTACGCGTACGTTTGCGCGTCTTTTTGCGTAAATTGCGCAGTTCGATCTCTTCCTTAGTGAGTCCACCAACGCCGGAGGATTTGGCTGCGGGTACGCGCGGCTTTTGCCGTATGACCACCACGTCCGCCTCCTCCTCCTCGTCAATGGCCAGCGCCAGCCGCTGATGATGTAAGTTGCTATTATTGGTCACCGACGGAGGTGGTGGTGGCAACATCGATCCATGCGACTGCTTGTTATCCACCTCGTTGCGACTGTCCTGACTAGTGTTGGTGCCAATGCTGTCCGCATCGCCACCGCCGCCGCCGCCCCCGCTGGTTATCTGCACTTCAACGCCGCGTCTGCCGCGCACGGAGCCGTTCTCGCTCGACCCGGAGCCTAGGCTACTGTCGGGCGAGATGCGTTTCTCCTGTTCCTGGCCAGGCTTAAAGCGATTCACAATGATGCTCACATCCTCGGGCACAACGCCATTGGCCTGCTGTTGCTTGCCGCTGCCGCCATCGCTGGGCTGCTGATGGCTACTGTCCTTGACCTTAATGACCTCATCGCCAACTGTGACAACAGACACGTGACTGGTGTCCATGAGCAGCAGCTGATCGCTGTGATCGTGACTACCCGATGCCGTGTTATATGCCGAATCGTCGTCCGCATATGACGGACTCACAATCAGCACCTCGCTCTCGTCCAGCTTGCGAGCATGAACAGCTGCTGCAGAAGATGCCCCACCTGCACTGCCATCTTGATGCTCATTTACTGTTAGTATCATGGATGATTGCTTAACCTGATCCCCGAGACTGTCATCCAGCGATGGAAAATCCTCGTCAGTGGATGACTCATGCAAATGCGTGCTCTTATTCAAATCATTCGACACAATGATGACCTCATTCTGCGCCAGCGGCAGCGCCGACTGCTGTTGTGAATTGTCAATAATCACCGGCGGATGGGTGCTCGTCACTACTGTGATTTGACTAACCGAATCCAGGCTGTTCGGCAGCACCAAATGCTGCGTTGGCGGTGGTGGCGGCGGCACCGACTGCTGCTGACGCGGCGCCGGCGAAGCATCGCTGCTGTTGATGGTTATCAGCGAGGTGCTAGAGCTGAGCACAGCGCCCGTAGCGCTGCCCGAGCTGCTGCCCGTGGAGGCCACCGACTGCACGGATATGATGGAAGAAGCGGTCGGTGAGGGCGGCTGCGGTTTAGACTCCACAGCATCCTGACCAATGCTCACTTCAATGGCGGCTGTGGGTTCCTGCAGCTTCTTGGGCGATGATGTTGCCTCCGCATCCGATGTAGGGGAGCTCTGTGGTCTGGCAGCTATGACAGCAGCTGCAGCGACTGCTGATGGCGGTGGAGGCGCTTTGCCCTTCTCCTTTTTGACAAAGTGCTGCTGCAAAAAGATGTTTAGGAATCAAATCAGATTTAATAGTTTTATATTTGCCAAACTCACTTTTTTGTCTGCGTCAGACTTTTCATTTGTTTCTGCAACGTCTTCACTTGATTTGTGCAGCACAGCAGCTGCTTGTGGTTGTTGTTGCTGTTGTTTTTGTGGCGCTGGTGGCGTTGGCGGCGCTGGTGCGGGCACTTTGGTATGCGGCGCTGCTGTTTCGGCCACTCCCGGCGCATGCTCCTCCTTGATCTGGTTTGGTTTTTCTGATGTTGTTGCTTTATTTGTTGCTGTTGTTGCAGTTGCAGTTGCAGTTGCTGCTGCAGCTGCTGCTGTTGATAGACTGCTACTTGGTTGGGATTGCTCTTTGGAATCCCGCGATATGGATGTAGGTGTACCTGGAACTATATATAACAAAAGTTAAACAATTGAAATGTCATAAGGTAAGCTAGCACTTACGTTTATCAATGTCTTGGCTCTGCAGCGAAGCAGAGTCATCGTCCAGGTCGAGCTGGAGCGCCGAGTTGCGGGGTTCCTGGCCAAGAAAAAAACAAAATTGCAATGTTAGTAAAATACCTCAAAATAATTTATTATTCTAGCTGTAGAGCTAATTGCGTTTTATTACATTATATTAAATCAATATCAATTACTTTTTTTATAGATATATTTTGACTTTCATTTATATGTCTACAGCAACCCGCGATTCAAAGGCAACATTACATTATATTATTTTTGATATTGTAATGTAAGACAGCATAGAGTAAGCTGTAACTAACATTTTACTGTAATGTTAGCTTGCCTGTAACAAGCATTCTGTTAAAAATAGTAAACAAAATGACTAAAAAAAACACTTGTATGTTATGTTAGACAAATGTTATTTTATGTCTGTTATACCTAGGAGAAATGTTAACCCTTTTTTTTAAGGATTCATTAATTTAAGACAAAAAAGATTATATGTTACTAGGAAAACTGACATCCCATTAAAAAATCGTTCTAATTAGATGCGCAATTTTCTAATATGTTCAAAATATCTCTATAACCCGTCAAATTCTTAGAAAAGGCAGATCAAATAATTTTTTTACTACCGCTAAATGATAGGGGGAAAATTATCAAATATATGATAATTACAGAAAATGATATATTTTTAACTAATTTAATATAACTAGATTATGCAATAAATATAAGAACTGTGAAGTTCGATAAAACAAATATTTGGACAGTTTTTTATGATACGTAATATTAAGCAAATATGCGTACGTTACACACATATTGATAAATATATATGTATATAATATTAAAAATGCTTTGATACGCTACAATGTGTTTGTGGCTACTGAAAAGGCAACACAACTAAAAAGTAGCCACTCGAAGGCGAGTACATAAAGCAAGATAAACTTTTGACAATGCTGATAAAAATAAGTAAAATAACTTGAATAAATGGAGCGTGTGTTGGACGGAGGGACGGCTGACGGGGTGTTGCTGTAGAACGACTTACCAACCCTCTGATAGAGCGAGCGCCGCTTCACTTGGCGTTTAAGCTTCTAAATCAATGGCAGGCAAACACACAAACAAACAAAAAATATAATAATAATAATAACACAGAAAATGATAAGAACGTATTTATGGCCGACAAATTGACGGAGAGTAAAACAAACAAATGAAAAGATTTATCGCAAAGTGCAATTATTTTTTCGGTTTGGTTTTGTTGGGCATAGTAGACAGGGCGAGGAGGCAGCGTGTAAAAGAGAGATATACAAAAGATTGAGAGAGTTAGTGTCATCTCTAGCTCTGGCTGTAATACAGGTGCATATTGTGCTGGCAACAACGAGAAGCAGAATGTGTAATTAAAAATATAGCTAACCTCAGCCTCATCATCGACGACCTCCTCGACAACCTCGGCCTTGTACTCGAGCAGCAGATCCTTAATTGGCTTTGCATCCAAATTGCCGTTGATGAAACCATGCTGCAGCAACACTTCCGTGGAGGGACGCTGCTGTGGATCCTGCAAAAGTATACAAAAATAGTTACATTTTACAGGGTATAATTGACAGAAACCACCAACTCTCACCTTGACTAAAGACTTTTTAAGAAAATCATTAAATTCCTTGCTCCATCTGCTTGGCTGCTCCAGTTTGGGCGGTTCGCTCTTTTGTATCTTGAGCAGCACACGCATGGGCGACATTTCGCTATTGGGTGGCTCCATTTGCGCCAGTTCAATGAGTGTTATGCCCAGTGACCAAATGTCCACCTTGTGATCGTATGGATTGTCGCGAAACGTTTCGCAGAGCACCAGCTCCGGTGCCATCCAATAGGGCGTGCCAATAAACGTATCATGCTTTTGCATTGTGTGTTTATTCTTGGCCGACACACCAAAATCAGCTGCAAAATAGCAGAGGGCATTTAATTGGGATCATACTTAATTCATTTAGGCTGCCTACCCAGCTTGACGCCACCTTCCATGGTGAGCAGCACATTGCCGGCCTTCAAATCTCGATGTATGACCTTGTTCTTGTGCAGAAATGTGAGGCCCTCGGTCATGTGTTTGCAAACATAGGCGATTTGTGGCTCTGTCAGTGGCTTTTCCAGCTCCACCATAATGCTGTCCAAGGCGCCGCCGTCACAATATTCAATAAGCATCTGAGAAATAAATGTAATTTAGTAAATATAACATTACAAACATTAAACGTGGTTTATTTAATAAAATAATAACGTATTTTCAAGATATATAACCCTTTTAAATTCCTTTAAGAGAATCTCAATATCCACTTAATTCTAAATAATTATATGTGAAATGAATCTTGTTTAGTTGGGATTAAATCATTTTTATTTAAATAATTTAAACTTGCATATACTCCCTAAATTCACATTCTACCCCAGTTATTTAATTCATATTTAATTCAATAAACAAATTTGAGATAAAGTTTTCATATTATTACACTTCTTTTATATTCAAATATTTTACTGCCATTTATCAAATATTTAGATCTTTAACTATTTCATTGACAAATCATTTACAAAGTAAAGGGAATGTACGTACTTTATGACTCGCACAAACTTCTACTATGTACACATAATTATGAGAATTTGATATGACTCACCCACAGTTTGTCATCTATAGAGAATGCCTCGTAGAGTTCGACAATATTTGGATGCTTGATCTCCGAGAGTATATCGATTTCGACCATGTGATCGCTCAGATTTTCCTCATCCTCAAGCGTGCACATCTTTGCGGCCGCAAAGCGTTTGTGTTCCTTGTGCTGGGCTTTATAGACCTTGCCGAAGGCACCATCGCCCAGTTCACCGACCATTTCCCATAATTCCTTTGGATCGGTGTCCATTTTGATGTTATTGTACAGGCGTTTCTTTTTGGCCTCACCACCGCCGCCAAGGTGGAAGACCTTCTTCAGGTTCGTTATGAAGGACATTTTGGGGCTTCTTCAACTTTCTACAGCTGCTGCTCTTCCTTCGTCTTGCAGTAATACGCGTGTGTAAATATTGTTTTTATTGTGCCTTGTTCTACATGCTGCAAGGAGCAGCGGCTACCGCCAGGTTAAACTAGATTCGAATTTGGTGAAAGCTGCGTAAAAACAACGACAAAAACAACAACATGCATCATTGATTGAGCTTGAGCTTCATTGATTGATTGAGCTTTGGTAGCTGCCGTTTTTTTTTTTCTTTCTTGCTTTTTATTTAAACTCTCTTGTCGCTCACCTGCTTCGTCTCCTTCTGCTGTTGCTTCTTGTTCGTCTTAGTTCAAATGAAAATGGGCCAAAGCAGCGCAGCTAGTTTGGGGTCGTGGGTTTGGCTCTGGCTCTGGCTCGGTTGACGACTGCTTAACGCTTCTGTATGTTTATAATTTAATTAGCAGCTCTCGAGCTCTAATATTTGTACACCACATAGAAAGAAACACATACGAATGGCTGGAAAATGATTACAAACGAGAAAAGTAAAAGACGTAGACAAAAAGAGCGTAAAACGACTGTCTGTCCGTGTGCATGTATTTCTGCGTGTGTGCATTTGCATGTGTATGCGTATGTCTACGAGCTGAAGCTGAGACTTGGCTCTTCTTTTTCTTGGCTCTGGTCGCGTTTTTTTTTCCTTTCGACAGTTTTTTGGCAAAGCCAGCGGCTTTACGTATATGTGATAAGCACCCAAATTTAAACAATGCAATGCACAATTTGTAAACAACACGCGCACTCAAAGCCTCAGCCTCGTTTTACAGTTGCTCATTGATGATTACGCCGCGGCCGCCCATCGAACTGGACGTATGCGTATGTGTGTGTGTGAAACTGTAGACGAACGCAGCAAGCGACAGCAGCAAAAACAATTACCTCATCGTCGCATCACAATCATTGTATCATATCAGTCGGCTACACAATACGAACGACAAGCGTGCCCAGCGAATTTTATGGCATTACTAAACTTTCCGCGTAGATAAAAAACGTTTTGCACTCAAATTGCTAATTGCTTTGGATATTTTGTCAATTTCTCTCGCGCAACGCCAGCCAGTGTGACCAGTTCTTAAATTCCACTGTGACGATATGGCAACGCGCATTGCATATTCTGCTGACCAAAATGGCGTATCGTGTGTGTCAGAAGAGCACCACCGATATGCGTATGCAGTGCCGTCAAGGGCAAACAGAAACAGCACTTTACAACTACACATGCACGCACCCAAAGTTAATGCGATAACGGAATCGAATGTTATAAACTATTACTAATTACTTTGCTCTATGTGTGCGTACTAATGATGGTTAAAAATTGTAACACCTGATCGAAATGTACGGCTCACACAAATATATCGATACATCGATGTATATGTCAAAATTTGATAATTTGTAGTATCGGCCAACGCTTGGTATTTTATTACTTTGTTTTTTAGTATTTAAGAATATCCGAATCACAACAATATATGGATTTGCTGTGTTGTGTAAAACTTATCGATAGCTGTACTTACAGAAATTGTCTTGCTTGTGCATCGAAGTTCATTTACAACTATCACATTTACAGACCAATATATATATATCGATAAAGCATCCATCTCTAGACCCACGTCAAAGAAGAAGAATCTGCTTGTCATTTCGGTGTTTCGCTCAATTGTTATCCGCAACAAAAAACATTTGTTGCAATTGTCGCAAGTACGCTTTAAAGAAAACACAAGCATAGTACGCTGTGCTTAGCAAATCCCCAACACTTTACAAACCAAACGCCACAAATTCAAAATGCCGTCGCTGGAGGTAAGCGTAAACAAAGTAATTGTCCACCCGCTGGTTCTGTTATCGGTTGTGGATCACTTCAATCGCATGGGCAAAATAGGCAACCAGAAGCGCGTCGTTGGCGTGCTTCTTGGCTGCTGGCGTTCCAAGGGCGTGCTGGATGTCTCCAATAGCTTTGCGGGTAAGTAGAAATATATTAAAAACCCAATTAAGGTGCAATACATATATAAATGCCCTGCAGTGCCATTTGATGAGGATGACAAGGACAAGTCGGTGTGGTTCTTGGATCACGATTATCTGGAGAATATGTACAGCATGTTCAAGAAGGTGAATGCACGCGAGCGCGTTGTCGGCTGGTATCATACCGGACCGAAGCTACATCAGAACGATATAGCCATAAATGAGCTTATTCGTCGCTACTGTCCAAACTCGGTGCTGGTCATCATCGATGCCAAGCCCAAGGATCTGGGCCTGCCCACTGAGGCCTACATAGCCGTCGAGGAGGTGCACGACGATGGCTCACCCACGAGCAAAACCTTTGAGCATGTGCCCAGCGAAATTGGTGCCGAGGAGGCGGAGGAAGTGGGCGTTGAGCATCTTCTGCGCGACATCAAGGACACCACCGTTGGCAGCCTGTCGCAGAAGATCACCAACCAGCTAATGGGCCTGAAGGGTCTAAACGCGCAATTGCGCGACATCAAACAGTATCTGCAGCGCGTAGGCGATGGCAAGATGCCCATCAACTATCAGATTGTCTACCAGCTGCAGGACATATTCAACCTGCTGCCGGACATAACCAACGATCAATTCACGGGCACCATGTACGTAAAGACCAATGATCAGATGCTGGTCGTCTATTTGGCGTCGATGGTTCGCTCCATAATTGCGCTGCATAATTTGATAAACAACAAGCTGGCGAATCGGGATGCTGAGGAGGGCAAGAAGATAGTCGAGGGTGACAAGGATGGCAAGGATAAGAATAAGGATAGCAAAGACAAGGAGAACAAGGATACTAAAGATAAGGATGGCAAGGACAAGAAGACTGATGAGAAATCAGACAAGAGCAAGGACGAGGGCGGCAAGAGTTCTAAAAAATAGGAGCGAAAGAAAAAACGGAAATCACGTCGCAAACGCAAGAAGCAGCCGCCAGAGCCGTAAACAATACAAACAACAACAACCACAGCAACAACAACAGCAGCGACAACAACAACAATAGGAACATATTTTGGCCAGCTTAGCGGAGACTGTTACACATGTCAACAAACGTCGAAAATAATAGCATACATATTCCTCTTCATAACACATAAATATCGTACCTAGTTATATATAAATACACGCAGCGAAATCCTCTTTAACTATTTTGTGTAGCTAAGTACGCTAAACAGTAACCAGCAAGTTGATGTAATTAAAACTTAATTAATTTAAAATTAAATGCGAATATATCATTTAATGAACAGTTATTGGAATGATGTCGACAACTGTAGAACGAACCTGGAACAACTATTTACTTGTGCATATGAATATTGCGTTAAATTTCAGGAACAATGCTCGGATTTCAAAGTAATGGGGTTTTACAAAGGGATGGGCGGTACGACAATCAAGATGGTTTATTGTGCTAGATCTGCAATGAACATCTATTTTATGGTTAATCACGAGCTTCCATAGAAATCATTCTGCTTTGTTTTTGTAGGTGTATTGACATGTCGCGCCAGCAGATACTCTTTCCACTCGTTTTCCGTCAAATGTAGCGTTTTTGAGAATGAGAGAATATTTTTGCTAAATCAATACTAGGAAGTTCCGATTGTCTTTGGCTTTTACATGTACATATCTTTGCAGTATAAATCCTAAAAATAAACAATTTTCTCAGTTTTCTTTTTTTTTTTTTACTACCAAAATTATATTTAATATCAAAAAACAATTGTAAATGGCTGTTGTACAATTGTTTTTTGCAGTGGACCAAGAAGAAGAAGGTTGTCTCTGAGAGTATAGACTTAGGCATATGCATTGTACAGGGTGTTCTTAACGAGTGTAGCTAAAGTGTTATTTATCTTGCGATAATGCTATTAAAAAGCATTTGTTACCAATTTACTTTCACATTATACAATTATTATTTAACTATATTCTAATAGCAAATGGAACAGCTTGAATTACTTTTCTTTACTGAACTACTATAATACTTAGTTAATATTTTTGATATTGTATGTTATATGTATATATAGTAAGTTGTAAGTTTTAGATAGCTTGTAGATTGGGCGAGTATTTTAGGCTAGTTTAAACAATGAGTTGTGCACTAACAATCGGTATACGGTATACAATTACAATTATTATAACTTTATACGTTAAATACTTGCAGTAAAAAATATAACGTGAGCAGCTGGCCAAAAAGAAAAGCTCTGCAAATGGCTGTTTGCAGAGATTTATTTTTATTTTAACAACTGTGTCTTCTTCATCATCATCTTGTTTAAACCAACCACTCACTGGCCAGGGGAAATTTGAGCGGCTTGCAGCTGGTGATCCTCAGGGCGTAGTTATTGTCCTCGGCAGCAGTTGTTGGATAGCGCTTCTCGTTGACCGAGCCGAGACTTAAACTATGGCTAAGACTAGCACTAGCACTATATGTAATAATATCATTGCTATTCCGTAAGTTTGTGTATGCCATCCGGTCCTCCTCCACATCCACATCGAATGCGTCTCCTGCATCTGCCTCCATGTAGCTAAGATTATTTGTGTGGTAAGCGTAGTAACTGTTGAAATCTAGCAGTTTATTACTGCTACTGCCAACATCTGATGTTGTTTTATTGGCCGTTGCTGTTGTTGTTGTTGGTGAAAAGCTTTTACAATTTAAATTATAGTTTCTGCTGGTGTGTATATTCAAATGCACAGCATTGTCATGTCACACCGAAGTGCCCTGTTGACCCGGCACAACCGAACCACAGCTCACGTCCGGCTTGAACGACTGCTGCATTCGCTGCTTGCAGTTGCCCCTCGACGCAATGAAGAATTTGTATATCATGTATATGGGTATACACATCACCGACGAACAAGTAACGGCCCAGCCCACCTGAATGCTCCACGGCGGATAGTAGAACTCCTCGCCAAGCATTTCCTTATAGCCCAGTATCGAGAATATAAATATTGTCTGCAATAGAGCAAAAATTATAGCCAATATCTTGTCTCGTTAGACTGCCACTTACCAGCAAGAATACTGGACTTATGTAGGTCCAACAGATGCGCCAGAAGATGCCCGGCTTAGAGCCCAACATTTGCTCCACATCCGAGCTGAAGCGATCAACGCCATAAAACCAAAATACGCCCGCAGCTTCGACAAATACCACAAAGAGTATGGCCAGACCGGGTCCGTAGACATTCAAAAAGTTGACCAAAACAACACCGCCCTGAAGTATAGAAAGATAATTATATCAGAAACAAAGTTAATTTTATAAGATTAAGTATAAGAAACCGGAACCGGGAAACGCTTAATACTGAGGACAGTCCTTCAGGAGGTGACCGTTTCGCTCCGTTTGCATTCATTCCTTGATCCATTCCGCCAACGGGGCGATGCCCCGAAAAGACCCTTTATTCAAAATGTACTTGTTGAAAAGTATCTCACATGGCTTTAATTTATTATCAGAAATATATTTTTATGTTTCTCTATAAGCTCAAGCTCCTTTGATAGCATCATACCCAAACCAAAACAATTAGAATGACCCAAAAAAATGGATGCAATTTTGCGAGTTGCGGTTGATTAATGGATGCAGGCGGTGTTCCGGTTAAGATATGCATAGAAATGGAATAGCTTGATCCGTTGACCGATACACAAGTCTAGTGGCCAACTTAAATATATATGTGTATATAGAGGATACTAAATTACAATTTCAAATGTAATCAGGCAAAGTGGCAATGGACAAACCAAGGCGTCAAGTGTTTGGCCAAGAGCAAAGGCAGCAACAACAAGAACAACAACAACCACCTTGACGGGTTGGCAGTGGTGTGTGGTCAGCCAGGCCAAAAGCAAACAAGCGTTCGACCCACCAGCCTGACAGGTGATAAAAATGCAGGAGCAAATGCGGAAAGATGGTTGGACGCTGGGCAGGCACTTGACTGAAGCTGAGTATGTGAGATTAACTGAAGGAACGATAAAAAGCACTTAACATGGCAATCCATCGTTTTTTGCCTCAGCTAAACTGGCATATTTAAACAGTTGTCCATTCGTCCGTCCCACCCTACGTCCGTCCAGCCGCAAGACAATCGCCAGTCATGGCAGTGGCTGCGTTTAATGAGCCATGTGTGTTGGCTGCCCTTCAGCAGCTTCATGCATATGGAGCAGCCAAGGCGTCCTCACGCACTTAACAGTTAATTAAACGAATCACTTCGCCTGATAGATAAGCGACAGCAGCTACTTACATAGGTCATTGTGGGGAGAGCGCACAGAAAGATGAACATGAGCAGCAGCAGCACGAAAAGCTCACGTCGTCGACCAATCACACGTGGATACTCATCGCACAGTGCTGTTATCATCGCCTCCAGCCCGCCAAAGGTGCTATCCAGTCCCAGCGTAATGAGCATTAGAAAGAATATGATGCTCCAAAAGACCG